ATTGAATGCAATTCTAACTAAAATCTAAACAATTGTTTTTGTTAACTTGACAAAGTAATTCTAAAATTTACATGAAAGAAGGCAAAGTCAAGAGGCCTTTGAATAACACGTGGTAGAAAAACTTGTTTTAATAGATATTAAGAATATTTAAAAAGTAGCTGTAGTTAAAATAGTGTTATAAGCGATAAGAAGAGACTAATAAACCAATTAAATAGAATAGTTGGCTCCTAAAAGACCCAGACACATATAGAAATTTAATTTGTAGTAAATATGACATTAAAGAACCGTGGGCAAGGACAGAATTGTCCAGTATGATTCTATAACAACTGGATATCTAGAATTTGACTTCTACCTCACATCACTCACAAAAACCAAAGGCAAGTGGAAAGATATAAACATAAAGAGGTGACATAATGATTAAAATTAAAATTAGGAACATCAGAGAAACCTCATTAAGAAACTAAAAAAGCAAATCATAGAAAGGGAGAAGACCTTTGCAGCATATTTAACTGGTGGGAGGCTCTTAATCCAGTGTACCTAACTTGTGAATATTAACAATTTTAAAAATCAACACAATAGAAAAAAACACATATGAAGAGGAAATTTATAGACAATAATATGCACATGGCTATTAAGCCACATGACACAATCATATTATTCAACAAGACAATGTAAACCAAACTCTCACCAGAATGGCTACAATTAAAAGAACTGATTATACTAATCTTTGGTAAAGATGAAACAATGGAAACTCTCATACACTAAGGAATGAAGTGAAATTAGTATATTTACTTTGGAATACCATCTGGCAGTATCTACTAAAGTTGAAAGATTGCATGCAATATGACTAAGAAATTCCATTGGTAAGTATATATTCAAGAGAAATATATGTATATATTTGGCTAAAAACATTTAAAAGAATGTTTATGGCAGCATTATTTATAATGGCTCAAACCTAGAAACAGCATGAATGTCCATCAACAACACAATGAATAAATATTCTGTAGTATTTCTATATGATGGAATACGATATAGGAATGAAAATTAATGAACCACATAAAAACATTAAGGAGACTTACAAACATACATTCAGAAAAGGACACCATGCACAGAAGAATGTGTGTAATATGAATATTATGTACATTAATTTAAAAATCAGGCTAAACCAATATTTTGCATATAAGGATACATTATTTAATGTGAAAACTATAATGAAAAGCAAGGAAGTAATTCCCACAAATATCAGGAATAATGTCATCCACGGGAAACTGATAGAAAGGAGGTAATGGCTGGCAGGCAGAAAAAGTAGGATTGGAGATGCAGCAATTGTTCTATTTCTTCACCTGTGTGATGGTTGCATGGGTCTTTGCTTCTGAAAATCACTGCTCTGTCTCCTTAATGCGTAAAAATTCAAAGCAAAAAGCTTAAAAGAGCAATAATTATGTAATGAAATTAAAAAATAGAAAACTGTTACCTGAGATAAATTTTAATAAACATAACTTTTATTTAAAACTTACTGGTACCGGCCAGGTGCGGTGGCTCAAGCCTGTAATCCCAGCACTTTGGGAGGCCGAGACGGGCGAATCACGAGGTCAGGAGATCGAGACCATCCTGGCTAACGCGGTGAAACCCCGTCTCTACTAAAAAATACAAAAAAAAAAACCTAGCCGGGCGAGGTGGCGGGCGCCTGTAGTCCCAGCTACTCGAGAGGCTGAGGCAGGAGAATGGTGTAAACCCGGGAGGCGGAGCTTGCAGTGAGCTGAGATCCGGCCACTGCATTCCAGCCTGGGTGACAGAGCCAGACTCCGTCTCAAAAAAAAAAAAAAAACAAAAACAAAAACAAAAACTTACTGGTACCAATAGCCATTGTAGGTGCTTTATCTCATTTGAGCTTTACAATATCGAGAAGACACAGTATTACTAATATCACATTTTGAAGGTACAGAGGCTGAGGGACAGAGAGCTTAAATAATTGACACAAAGCCACACAGCAAATGGGCCTTACTTGGAATATGAATCAATGAAGCAGAATGGTCCTAGAGCCCATGGTCTTAAGCAGTACATTATTCTACTTCTCCAGTATATTAGATTGATACAAAAGTAATTGCGGTTTTACAAAGTAATGGCAAAAATGCAATTACTTTTGCATCAACCTAACAGAAAAAAAGATACTCCATATGCTGAGAGTTACGTTTTTCTCTTGTCAAAATTAGTTTTGCAAGATAGGTAAACTAAGTCTAAAATAGTGGTCTTTTATGGACCCAAGATATGAAATCTTTTACTTATCACTCTATCCTTGTTTCATTTTTAAGTTCTGCTAAGGAAGGAAGACAAATTTGATTAAGACGACATATTTACTATCATAACTTACAATTGAATAATGTAATAAATTACTGTTCCTATTGCCCAACACACAAGTGAATGCATACAAGAGATTGATCACTAACCGTAAGGGACATTTCTCAGTAAAGGTCAAGATTTTTCTGCATACCCAAAAATCTACCTAAAGAAAGGGTAAACTCTGAAAAAAAAAAAAAAAAAGTTTCTCTGATTATTGGCAACATCATTTTCCAGCTCAGTCAACTTGGAAGCTTCAGTTATTTTTTTAGAGAAATGATGGTACAGTGGTAAACTGCAATGACTCTGGAGCTTGACTAAATGGCCCCAAATGTCAGGCATGGTATGTTTTACTTTTGTGACCTGGGACCATTTGCTTAAATGATACCTCTCTCAGTTTCCTCTTGCACAAATGGGATGACATTAGTCATTAACATTTAAAACAACCCTGGCACTCAGTAAATCCTGCACAAGCATTAAGTATAACTATTACTCCCTGAACCTATTTACTTCCAAATAAATCTCACATGCTCCAAACCCTGCCAGTCCCTCCCCACTGCTATGACTTTAGGTCTTGTCCTCATCCCTTCATTCTTATCCCTCTATAAATGCTTAAAAATTGATCTTTCTGCAACAAGTCTTCCAACTGCCATCCACTTTGAAGATATTACCAGAATAACATTTAAAAATACCTTTCTGTTCACAGGATTAGCCCTCATGAAATATTAGCTCTCCATTTTTAATTACATACCAATTAAATTCAAATTTCTTGAAGGGTTATCAGTATTTCCCACAACCTGGTACCAGCTTTATTTTCCAGTTATCTGCTTTTAGTCCAACATAAGAAACGTATTCCTCTGCCAAACTAATTAATTTGTCATTCATTGAGTGTGAAGTATGTCTCTTTACTTCTAAATGTTAGTATGCCATTTTCTTGACTATTCTGTTAACATTCTCCATCTGCATCAAGATCTAGCCCAAATTCAATTTCCATAAAACCTTGGACCAATATGGTTCAGAATTATATCTCCTTTCTGAGGTCTCCTATCATGGCTTCTTTTTTCACACATCTGTGCATTTTATTGTTTCTCAAATTATTTAAAATGGCTTTTAAATTGTATTAGTTTATACCATTCTCATGATGTAACTTACCACAGCCTCTGCTTTATTTATATGAGGGAATAGCTTATTTCCTCAGACCAACGACAAAGTTTCCTTGAGAGTTCGTTTTGTCTTTCTCTCCTACTTGCTCTAGTCCTTACTAACACAGTACCTCTCAATTTAGGAGCATGAACTATTAATTGAACCAAATGAAATAAAATTACTAAACAAAATCACTAGCTTTGTCTTCCAGAGGTCAAATCTAGAAATGGAGACTTCATCCCTTCATTCTCACCCCTCTGTAAATCCTTCAATCTCAAAACCAAAAGTAGTGTGGGAGCATGAACGATTTGATCCATTCAATTTTAGAGCAATAGTCTTTTAAATACCAGGAATTCTGAAAATGTCCCCATATAAAATGTCATTGATGGTTTGTTTCAAGAAATAAAGTGTACAGGGTTAGGACCAATGGGTGGCTAACGTGAAAGAATTTGAAGATCACCAGAGTCCAAAAGGGAAAGCATGAATGTGGCCAGTGTGATGTAAAGGATAGTACTATGAACATTACACATGTGAAGATAATAAGGAGGGAAGAGAATGGTAAGTCAAGCTCAACCTTTCATTCCAATCTTTTCTTCACTGCAGAAAGCAACTAAAAAGGACCACAAGAAAAGGGTGTGGTCAGCCACTGCCAATTCTGAAAAGTATAATAGAAGAGTAAGATATTGTCTCTGCCATTAGGGGAGGAGTTGTTATGTATTTTTAAGTTTTCTCTAATCAAATAGCATTTTGTTGAAGGCAACTCATTTTGGGTTGCTGATTGGTTCTACTGACACTTAACATAAGGCAATTGTTATTTTTTTAATTTGAAATTCAGTCATAAAATACTCATTTACTCTGATAAGTAGTGTTGGCCAGAGCACTTCATCAGGGCAGAGGCATATTTCTCTACAACAATTTCCAGCCTGACAGCCAAACAAGAACACAATCCCACTCACAATAGCCCCCAAAAGAATAAAATACCTAGGAATACAGCTAACCAAGGAGGAGAAAGTTCTCTACAAAACACTGGTCAAAGAAGTTAGATATGACACAAATAGAAAAACATCCCATTCTCATGGACAGGATGAATCAAGGTTGATAAAATGGCCACAATGTCCAAAGCAATTTACAGATTCAATACTATTGCTATCAAACTACAAATTATATCATTCATATAATTAGGAAAAACTATTTTATAATTCATAAACCAAAAAAGAGCCAAAATAGACAAGGCAATCCTAAGCATAAAGAAAAAACTAGAGGTATCACATTACCTGTCTTCAAACTATACCACAGGGTTGTAGTAACCAAAACAGCAAGGCACTGATACAAAAAGAGATACACAGAACAATGGAACAGAATAAAAACCCCAGAGATAATGCTGCACACATACAACCTTCTGATCTTTAAAAACGCTGACAAAAAATATCAAAGACTGTAAATGGAAATGGGTTCTTTTATGACTGCCAAATTAATTGAGCATGACTGCAATTGAGTAGAACAATAAAAATATTACTTACTGTATGTTGCACTTGGCAATTTCAAAATTTGCAAACATTCATCCTCAAAATGCTTCTACAGAAATGCATCTGTGGAGGAAGAAAAACATCCAAAAGAGTAAACAATTTGTCAAGGTCACAGAAAAACTAACACAGACCAACACACACTTAAACACAATACAATGTAACATACTAAAATAGGTTTTGCAAAATGTAAACTATACATCTAGCAAAGTATAATGGGCTGATGAACAGAAATATTCCCAACTACATGCAAATATTCCAAAACATCAATCAAGGAGGATACTTTGAAGAAAGAGGTAAGAGAAGTCTGCATACTAGCTTCATAATTATATGCAAGAAACACAGTTGGCAGAACGGCATAAAAGTAATTCAAAAATATGAGATGTTCAAGTATACTTGGAGAGTTGAGGTGATTATTCAAATATTTCAAGTTTTTAAAAGGTACTATTATCTGATATATGAGGATCACTGAGTTAGAAAAGAATTTTGCTTGATTTATCCAGAGAGTTGCACCAATTCACTTTGTAATTGCATTTCAATTCTAATTGAAAACCATGCACTGAGAAAAATGCAGGCATGCGACCTGCATACCTCACAAAAATACACAAACAGATCCATTCTCTGTGTTTCAGAATATCAATGTGATTATAAGGAGAAAGTGATTTAATCAAGCATTATTAATTAATTTGTTCATTTTAGAGTAGGGTTTTGAAAGAGCATATTGATTTTGAATCTCAAAATATTTCAACTTAAATGGGTTTTATGCTACTGAGTATATACAGTGTTATAAAAGAACTGTTCAAAGAAATATAATAAAATACAACCTAATGAAAATTATCAGCCTGGCCAACATGGTGAAACCCTGTCTTTAATAAAAATATAAAAATTAGCCAGGCATAGTAGTGAGTGCCTGTAGCCCCAGCTACTCCGGAGGCTAAGGCAGGACCATCGCTTGAACCCAGGAGGCGGAAGTTGCAGTAAGCTGAGATCATGCCACTGCACCCCAGTCTGGGAGACAGAATGAGACTCCATCTCAAAAAAAAAAAGATAGATAGATAGATAGATAGATAGATAGATAGATAGATAGATAGAATATATATATATAAAATATATATATCCCTTTATAAACACAGTGTGTTCTTTCAGACAGCTCAGACACACTATAAACAATACAAATAAAAATTCTCTTAAGTACCAAACATCTTTAAAGGAATATTAGTTCTCAGCAACAAACAGAATTTCTGCTCAGAGAGATCTGCGTCTTGATGGTACTAAGCAGAACTAGCAGTTTAATAATACAGAAGTTGTGCTTTTGTGTTCACCAAAACCAACTGTAACCAAATCAACAATTCAACATTCAGAATAAACATTTTGAATAGAAAATCTAATTTATCTTCCTCTAGTACGTTAAAGACACTGAGAATGCACAGGTCTCTACCTGGCCCATGAATAAATGATTTTACTAATGTTTTACACAGAACCTCTCAGAGAAAACTGGATATAATTAGCAAGTTTATAGTTAAATGGAAAAAGTAAATCAAGAAATGTCCAAGAAATTTTGTATTTTCTAAGTTTAAAACTTAAAACATAATAAAAGATATATATATTCTTCTTCACATATAAGTAGAATTATAAAGTAGAATTATAAAGTTATAACAATTAGCAAATCTCTGTATTTCTTCATACTTTAGCATATTCATCCTCATAGACAAGAATACTGAGATGAACGCTAATTACATGACTTGTTCAATCTGACACAGCCAATAGGAGGTAAGCTTGGGCTCAAAACCAGCTTTTCTGACCTGGGTTTCATCTTACTACAATATCTGCTAATTTCTAGGTTGCATCCAGAGCAGAGATTGAAAACTGGGGGTGTGAAAACCAAATCTGGCTTACTGATACATTTTGTTTGTCCCACGCCATGGTTTTTAAAATATTACACAATATTCAAAAGCAGAAGATTTCTCATAAAAAAAAATCCTAATATCTAGCTTTTTTGAAAAAGTGAAAATTTTTATAAGGCTGGACTCAGGCATGGAACAGAAAAATGGTTGCCCCTCTTAGATAGTACGAGTTTTCATATTCATCTACTTCCTACTTTTACAAACCATCTTTCACTCTGACAATTTTAAATAATGGAGTGTTTTGCACCAGATCCAAGCTCTCCTTTATTAAGAATTGCCATCTTTTTTTTTTGTTTTTTTGTTTTTTTGTTTTTTTTCCTGTGAAACTGGAGGAAGGATTTACCTTTATTAGTCTCAAAAAACGTATTTTGTCAATTGAAATAACCACTTAAAATACTACATTTCATTGGATTCCTATAACCAGGTGCTATTGATTAGTTATCTTATTTTAATCTATATACATGTTTTAAAATTTTGTGGGTTTGAATATATTTTATTTTTAAATATATATTTGATAATTGTCATAGCTAAGGGAAAATATTACAAACATAATTGACTAGTACATCATCAAGTGAAAGAATGAGTGACCTCAAAGAATAATTTTACATTTACCATGGACATGTATGTCTTCCAGTGAGTTATTTCCTGGATTGATAGGTATACTAGGCAATAAAATAATTATGATACATTAAACACTTCAATTTAGTTGGATAAACTGGATTAACAGAACACTAACAGCTAAAGGTAAAGCTATGCAATCCACAAATTTTGGTTAAATAATGGCATATTGCAATTGTCTTCAAATATCAATACATTTTGCAGAATGCATAAAAATATGGACTGGCATTCTGAGGAACTCAGGTAGTAAGAGCCACCTAAATCTCAAACTGTTCACATATCGTAAAAAATACATACACTTAACCAAAACAAATTAAAACACACGAATCCAAATCCTTCAGCACAGCTGGAAGCTGGAGAATAATAAACATGTCAGATTATACGTAAATAGAAAATTAGACACCAATTTGTAATGCAGCTATCTTTAAGCTGCCCCTATATACAGAGATATATGGGGTCCAGAAAAACTGTGAGAAAGAAGGTAAAGGAAACCAGAATTCCTAAGAGTGACATGAAAATCATTCACAGAAAATCCACTCAAACTATGAAAATTCTGAAAACCTATTCTGGCATATTAGAATATGGACACAGAGAAAAGACAAAAATGCATAAATTTTGAGGTGACATTTTTTTTTTTGGAAGAAAAGCAAGTAAGGCATTTATAAAATGATGGGGATATGTCAAAAGGACACAGGTCCTAGCTTTAAGAGGCTGTTACTGGTTTAATCGGAGACAATTGGGAAATAAAAATAAATAATTATTGTAATGGATTAAAATTTATTACAGAAAATATAATAAAGTATGAACTTAAGAAGGGAAAACTCTTTCTTCGAGTATAATGTGACCTAAAAAAGTACAGACGGACTGATGGAGTTAGAAAACCACCATAATATTTTAGGTACCTGATTCAGTAAAGAAAACATTAGTGGATCAGCACCAGTGCATAAAAGTGTGATGATAAACAGGTATTTCCAGTCGAAAAGTATCTTCCCACAAATTACTTATTAATTACAATGGAGAAAATAGTAACTAGTTGTGGAGAAACTTGGCAGAGACCACCTTAACAAATTGATCAAAGACAATATCATCAATTATCAGACAAATACAACATGTCTCCAAGTATGATGCACTTGAGAAGAACACAACATCACTTTTGTGGTATGCCTGTCAAAAATGCAAAACCAGAATTAACCGTTAGGAAACATTCAGTAAAGCCAAATTGAGAATACTGCACTCCATATCTGATCGGAACTCTTCAAATGTCCAAGTAATTAGACTAAGGAGATGTTCCAGATAAAAGGACTTTTAAAGATAAGACCAAAAAATACACCTGGAATCCTAGACACATACTGTGAGTTACACAATACAACTAATATTGTGTCAATATTGAATATCTTTAAAAATTATACTCTTGTTATAGAAGACAATGTCCTTATTCTTAGGAAATGTACCCTTAAACACTTCAGCTAAAGAAGTATGATGTCTGTAACTTATACTCAAATGATTCAGAAAAAAATGTGGTGTGTGTGTGGTGTGCGCATGCACACACAGGAATATAGAGAGAAAACGCACACAGAAATGAAGCAAACGAGGCAAAATTGTAAACAACTGTTGAATCTGGACAAAAGGTATTCTTAAATACAATTCTTGTACATTTTCTGTACATTTGAAACTATGTCAAAATTTAAAATTATGCAACAAGGTAAAAATAAATAAAAATAAAATGTTTTATTTTAATCTAGACATTTATATTTGGGAATCACAGAATAATAGTCAAACACACATCAAGGAAGTCTTTTTCAGAAGGGAACAACAGACACTGGGCCCTACTTGAGGCTGAAAGGTAGGAAGAAGGTGAGGATCAAAAAACTACCTATTGGGTACTATGCTTATTACCTGGTGACAAAATAATCTGTACACCAAACCCCTATGACACAAAATTAGCCTATATAACAAATCTGCACATATACACTTGAAGCTAAAATAAGAGTTAAAAATAAATAACTAATAACTAAATAAATAAATCAGAAAAATATTTAAAGGTTAAAAAAATTCAAAATCATCAATGTTTTTGTATAATTAGTATAGTAAGAAATCCAGAGTGATAGCTTACATACTATATATCATATAGTGTTTATGTATATACAATTTACATCTTTATATATATTTAATATTTATATATTTAGATTAAATGAAAGATATTTATTCATAACTTACATACTGATATATACCCATTAAATATATAAAATACAGGAGAATAAGAAAAAATGTAAAATCTACTTTAGAGTTTTAAAATAAACCACACAAACAACATTATATTATAGTCAGCAAATTAAGCAATATAAAGTTAAATAATGAAATGATAATCAAAAAATAAGTGAAAGTAGTCAGGACTTAAAGAAAAAAGACAAAAGGTTATCAGTCTTTAAAGATTACCAATGTAAGTGGTTTTTCCTTATACAATTAGTTTTCTAAATCAAAAGTTGCAAGTTTTTTTAATTTAGGAAAAAAATATTAAAATATAAAATCATCCTTAATTCCAGA